GTAGCCCCATGTAGAGCGCATATAAAGGAAATGCTGCATAAATTGGAATGGATAGGACCCTCATGGCGAACCTATGGCACGCGTGCCACAGGTGGCACGCGGAGCCATATCTGTGGGCACACGAGCATTGCCCTAGCTCATCATGCGCGTGCTGGCTAGCTGATTTTCGGGCCTTCTGGGCCCACTGGAAGTCAGAAAACAGGCTGTTTCCGGCCTCTGGAGGGCCTCTGGGGTGGTGGGGAAGGCTGTTTTTGCCCTCCCCAGGTTCCTAGAAAGCCTCTGGAGCCTGGGGAGGGCAAAAAACAGGCCTACCGGGCCCACCATGCCATAAGCAAGGGGAGCACGGGGGGGGGGCCGTGTTGTGCGCACATGCATGGGGGGTGGAGTGCATTGAATTATGGGTGTGGGCATGCGTACGAGCGACCCCCCCCTCACTCCCCCGCTTTTGGCACATGACGGCAAAAAGGTTAGCCATCACTGGTATAGGAGAAAAATATTGAATAGTATACATGCAGAAAGCTTTGATGTTAGAACTGGATTGGTTGGGGGTATGAATATTGTATACAGGAAGTCTTTCAATTTACGATCACAGTTGAGTCCAAAATTTCTGCTGTTAAGGGAGACATTTGTTCATTTTGCCCCATTTTACGACCTTTCTTGCCACAGTTGTTAAGTGAATCATCACAATTGATAAGTCAGTAACCCGGTTGTTAAGTGAATCCGACTTCCCCATCGACTTTGCTGGTCAGAAGGTCGCAAAAGGGGATCACATGACCCTGGGACACAGCGTCTGTCATAAATAGGAACCAGTTGCCAAGCATCTGAATTTCAATCACGTGACCATAAGGATGCTGCAACATTCGTAACTGTGAAAAATAGCACTAGCAATAGCACTTAGACTTATATGCCGCTTCACAGTGCTTTACAGTCCCCTCTAAGCGGTTTACAGAGTCAGCCTCTTGCCCCCAACAATCTGAGTCCTCATTTTACCCACCTCGGAAGGATGGAAGGCTGAGTCAACCTTGAGCTGGTCAGGATCGAACTCCTGGCTGTGGGCAGAGTCAGCCTGTAATACTGCATACTAACCATTGTGCACCATGGATGGATGGATGGATGGAAGGAAGGAAGGAGAAAAGGAAGAACAATACCCATAGCACTTAGACTTATATACCGCTTCATGGTGCTTTACAGCCCTCTCTAAGCGGTTTACAGAATCAGCCTCTTTCCCCCAACAATCTGGGTCCTCATTTTACTGACCTCAGAAGAATGGAAGGCTGAGTCAACCTTGAGCCGGTCAGGATCGAACTCCTGGCAGTGGGCAGAGTCAGCCTGTAATACTGCATTCAAACCACTGCACCACCACGGTTCTTAGCAATAACAATAGCACTTAGACTTATATACTGCTTCATAGTGCTTTACAGCCTTAAGTGTCTGCCTTTTGTCCCCAACAATCTGTGTCCCCATTTTACCCACCTAGGAAGGAGGGAAGGCTGAGTCAACCTTGAGCCTGGTGAGATTTGAACTGCCAAACTGCAGGCAGCCGGCAGGCAGCAGAAGTACTGCGCTCTAACCACTGCACCACCAAGGCTCAAAAATGGTCATAAGAAATTTTTCATTGCTGTTGTAACTTTGAATGGTCACTAAATGAACTGTTGTAAGTCAAGGACTATCTGTATATACAATGCCATTTTTTTAATAAGAGCCTAAGTTATTCACAATAAATTTTACATAGTCTGAATAATGCGAGGAGGAAAATTCAGAGATGGCGGGGGTTGTGATTGACAGGAAAAAGAGAGTGAACTTGTAAGTTATATATAAATGGCAAAAAAAACTAGAGCAAGTACACAAAACTGTGTGACATGGTAGAATGTTTACTAATGATGGGAAAGTAGATGGGTAAATTTTAAGATGTGCAAATGCTGATTGAAAGATTGTAGGAAATACGTGGTGGGTTGCAAGGAATAGATGTTTGTGGGGGAGAAAATGAAACTTTTCCTGTTTTATGATAGGGAATGTGAGAATTGGGAATGTCAGGTGTCTCATAGAAGGGAGTTGACTGTTGTGGGAATGTGATCCTGAAGAAGGCTGTGTGAAAGAACCAGATGAGGAGCAGTCGAAGGGTGCTGAATGAATAAGGATTGAAAGAAAAGGAGCTACGTTGAGATGTTTTGATGACATGCAGAGGACAAAAAAGTCACCAGACAAATAGACGAAGGAGTGAATGAATCAAGAGGAGAGTGAAGCTGGAGAAAGTTGCATTTGGAGTAGATCAGATTTTAAAAAAGAATTCAGAGATGTAAGGAGCAAGGTATGGAGCAATGAATAAATATGGTGGAAACCAAAGATGGTTTGCAACGATAGAAAGAAATGAGAGGGTACTTCAGAGTGAATGATGTTGTGGAAATTAATTTTAGCTGTGCTTTTCTCTCTTTATTTCTTTTGCTTGCTGTTTCTGAACTCCCTTTGCCCTTTGCATGATATTACTTACTTTAAAGCAGGGGTCTCCAACTGTGGCAACGTTAAACCTGGAGGACTTCAACTCCCAGAATTCCCCAGCCAGCTTTGCTGGAGAACCCTGCTTTAAAAGGTGACTTTTAACCAAGCCCCTCCTGGAGTTACCATGAAATTTGGCTGGTCCCTCTCATGCTTTTTTGCTCTGAGATTCCAACCTGTGCCCTCCCCGACTTCCTTCCAGCCCCCAACGGGGTTCAAAGCTCCCAACCCATCTACCCCCTCAGAAGCTGCCTTAGATGATGTCGCAACAAATGCTGTTTTAATGCCTGTACAATATTCAGTGGCATTTGATGGTCCACCTTCTATGCCAGTGCTTCTCAAACCTTGGCCAGCTTTAAGATATGTTGGTCATTCCCCAGCCAGCCAGGGATGACGATTCACACATCTTTTAAACTGCCAAGGTTGGAAACACTCTGGTACACACTGCCATCCATGCAGTGGTGGGATTCAAATAATTTAACAACTGGTTCTCTGCCCGAATGACTGGCTGGGTGGGCGTGACCAGGGGGTGTGGCAGGCAGCACTCGGCCTCCCTACACCCCCCCGGGAGCAAAAACGGGCTGGGGGGGACGCCCCGCCCCCCCCTGCACCCCGTTTTGGGCCTAGGAGGCCTCCCTACACTTACCTAGGAGCCAAAATGGGACATAGGGACTCCTTAAAGGGGTGGGGCCAGCCAGCAATTTAACTACCGGTTCTTTCGAACCGGACTGAACCATTTGAATCCCACCACTGCATCCATGGCATTTTGCAGAAGACTCAGGAAGAATAGCAAAGGATGTTTCTTTTTCTTTCTTTCTGGGGAAGGACGCATAGAACCCCACTGCAAAATTTGAACAGATTGAAAGAAATACTTTCAGCCAAGTAGCTTTTTCGTCTATTAAAAATAGTTACACTGCTTGAACAATGGCGTTTCCTTTCCTAATCCTTTTTGGCACCCTTATAAAAGCATAAGCATCCAACTTAATCTTATCTGTATCAACTCTCAGCAAAGTTTCGGGTAAAATTTGTTCTGAATTCTTCCAAAGATGCTAAAAAAAACCAGTCCTGGGGCCATTTATTCATGTCCTTGCAAGTTTCCAGGAGATATTGTACATGGATTTTCTCAGAGACTACAAATATAGGGAATTGGGCCATTTGACCTTCTAACTTTGGCGGGCATCTCCTTTCCAGGTGTATTTCACTTTCCTGAGGCAGTTGGGGATTGAACTAAGTGGTTTTGCCATATCACTGCTTTCACCCACTTGGCAACAAATATTTTCTGGCCCTCTTCTGTATTTGGAGAGTTGGCTCCTTCTTAATTGTGGCCTGGGTAACTCTCACCCATCAAGAGTGAACATGCAATGGCTGATAATCACAAGGTTGCCTCTGAAATGGTATCAGCATCAAATGTCAATCAATTAAATGGCAATCGTTATGTTACAGAAGTGGTTACAGAAGTAAAGACATGTTAAGCAAAGAAGACAGTCTTCTTAGTAAGGATTTTTGAGAGTTTGGGGAAAGAAGAATTTGGTGGTGTGGGAACGCTGCGAAAAAACCTGTTAAAACAAAGCTTCATACACACTTTGATTTCAGAATATGTTCTTACTCAGTCTAGATATTTTTTTGTGGGCCATTCTTCTCTGAGGCCTGTTTCATTCTAAGAACTCCATAATCCCCAACCCCCCCAGTGGGCCAGTTTTTCATGGGGGTGGGGGCTTTTCTTAACTCCCCCTCCCAACATGCAAAGTATTGGATGTAGCTTCAGTCTTACAACTTTTTAAAGCTTGAAGCCATGTTTTAAGATTATTATTATTATTTATTTATTTAAATTTATTGGCCACTAAATAATAATTTTAAAAAAAACACCTTTTTTTAAAACTAAAGCCCCAGCACCAGCAAATTTGAGATTCTGCTGTAGGCATTTGGGCAGTGTTTTCATTTCTTCAAGTAGAGTATAGACTTGAATTGGATGGCAATGTAATTCTCTCACAGGCCTGTCCTATGTGTAAGAGTTTTGAAAATTTTAGAAACAAAACAAAAAGATTGACAACTGAGCAGAAAAGTTTAGCTTGGCTATCACAGAAAAAGAAAAAAAAACCCGGTAAGAGGTATGAGAAAGAGAATTCCTTCTTTATGGACTCCCCCACCTCTTGTGGACTCTCATCCCCCTTAACATTTTATGGGAGGAGCCTAAGAGCTATAATGGGCGGGAACAGTGGTGAGTGGGCGGGGCTAGGTAAAGCAAGCATTTACCAAGGTTTTAAGATTCGGTTGGAATTTTCTTTTTTCAATAGCCATAAAGAAGTCTTATGCTACCATTTTTGTGTGTGTCCTACCTCAAATTTTGATGGCACCGTTGCCTCGTAGGCCAAAAAGAAAGAAATTTTTCCACTTTAGAGACATTCTTTGCTGCCCTGCATTGAGAGGTGTTTTTACAGATACGTGCACAAAATGTTGGCTCTTCCAAAATATTCTAACTCTTTTCTTTCCTCCTGTTTATTTTGCAGGTATTCCTTTGGTAAGTGAATATAACTCAGAGCATCGCAAATAGTTGTTTTTTTCAATGCACTTTTCGGGTATGTAATCTTTTTTTAAATTACTCTATTTTTCCCCCCTTCCTTTCTAGAGAGAGGTGTGCCCGTGTCTTAAAGGCCCTAGTTTCTTATGTTACCTCCAAGTACTGCTAGAGCAGGCTCTTTCAGACTGTGTTCCATGAGAAACTGAAGGATTCTACAAGACTTAAAAAAAAAAAAAATCACTCAGATGCAGACAATTTGCTAACCCCAGAGCTTTGCCTCTTGACCTGTCACATGATGTTTCACATGTGAGGACTGGTCATAAGTCACTGTTTTCCATGCCAATATAACTTTGAACAATCCTTAAATGAAGGGTTATAAGTCAAGGACTACCAATCCTTAACCACTCCGCCCAGTCTCCAATTCTCAAAACTTTATAGCCTCATTTCTGGCAATTCCTTTTTATAAACATTTCGATCTCAAATAAATCTAATTGGACCTGCTTCCTTGAGCGTGACCTGAAATGAACGCGGACAAAACCGGTTTGTATCCCGCTCTTCTTATCCAAATTCTTTCCATTCTGATCAGACATATAAATTTAACACATGGTTAGAAGTAGTGGAATAGGTTTTTCCTTTTGAACTCATGATACATTGTCTTCTGATTGTTTATTATTTATTTTTGCATTGCACACAGAACGTGTCTCTGAGCCTTTAACAGATTAACGAAGTTGGAAGGGACCCTGTAGGACATATAGTCCAACCCCCCGAACAAGCAGTAGAACCTACACCATTTCTGACAAATGGCAGTCCAGTCTCTTCTTGAAAGCTTCTGGTGATGAAGCTCCCACAACTGCTGAAGGCAACTTCTCTTCCATTGGTTGATTGTTCTCACTGTCAGGAAATTCCTCCTTATTTCCAGGTTGCTTCTCTCCTTAATTAGTTTCCATCCATTATTCCTTGTCTGGCCTTCGGATGCTTTGGAAAATAGCTTGACCCCCTCCTCTCTGTGGCAGCCCCTCAGATATTGGAAGACTGCTATCCTGTCTCCTCTGGTCCTTCTCTTCACTAGACTAGCCAGGCCCAGTTCCTGCAACTGTTCTTCATGTGTTTTAGTCTCCAGTCCCCTCATCATCCTGGTTGCTCTTCTCTGCACTCTTTCTAGAGTCTCAACATCTTTTTTATAGTGTGGTGACCACAACTGGATGCCGTATTCTAGGTGTGGTCTTACTAAGGCTTTATAGAGTGATATTAGTACCTCACGTGATCTTGACTGAATCCCTCTGTTAATGCAATTTAGGATTGCATTGGCTTTATTGGCTGCTGCTGCTGCATACTGCTGGCTCATGTTTAAAGGCACACTGCCTTCCTCATATTTGTGCCATGCTGGCTTCTTCAGGCTTGCGTCATCCAGATGCGTTGGTCAAAAGACTTGGTGAAGGCCAACACATCTGGAGGAGTAAAGGCTGCTCTTAAGAGCTTCGTTGACCCTCCAAAGAAAAGATCTGGGCTCCAATTCTCGCTTAGCTAAAATGCAGGCAATATTTTTTTCCCCTCCTTTATTCTCTTTTTTGGGGGGGATGTAGCTCCTGAATTGGGGATTAATCAGATGAAAAGACCATGAATTGCTTACTTTAATTATTTATTTATTTGCTGAGGAATGCCGGAAGCTCAAAATACAGTATTTTTTTTGTTCTATTAAAACTGTGGAGCTATGACATTTTGTTGTCCTCTGTTTGTTGTTATCCAAAAGCATTTAAATATTGCTGAGCTTTGCAAAATCCCATTCCAGACTTAGTAGCTTTCACTTCAAAGAATTGTCTTAACAGTTCCTGCAGTGATCTTTTGTATGTGCCAAAGGCTTCCTGTCTTTCCCCCCCCTCATATAAAAAGGTGGGGGGGAAGGCCTGGGGGTTGGCTCTTACTTCAAACCAAAAGCGCCGTTATAAATAGCATCTTAAAAAGTTTCGTAATGAAAAAAAATATATCTTAAGATAGAGGCACATGCATATCAGGGCATAAAACAGTAAGGCATTGTATAAAAATAATAATTTCTTGATTAGTTTGCCATGGAAGTGCTGCTAATTTTGCAGAGATTGTGAAAAAAAAATCAAGATGGAGGTGTGATTGAAGTCCCCATCTTTTTTTTTTTTATGTGCACACAACACCTGTTAAGATCCAACCTGAAAATAAGGAGGAATTTCCTAATGGTGAGAATTATTAAAGAGTAGCCGGACTCCCTGAGTTGTGGATGCTCCCTCACTGAAGGTTTTCAAGAAGAGACTGGACAGCCATTTGTCCAGAATGGTATAGGGCCGTGATGGCAAACCTATGGCACGCCATATTGGTGGGCACGCGAGCGTTGCCTTAGCTCAGCTCCAGTGTGCATGCGTGCGCCGGCCAGGTGATTTTCGGGCCTTCCGGTCCTACTGGAAGTCGGCAAACGGGCCGTTTCTGGCCTTCGGAAGGCCTCTGGGCGGGTGGGGAAGGCCGTTTTTGCCCTCCCCAGGCTCCAAGAAAGCCTCTGGAGCCTGGGGAGGGCGAAAAACAGGCCCACCGGGCCCACTGTGCCATCGCATGCCAAAAGTGTAGGGAACTTGGGGGGTGGGCATTCGCACATGCAGGGGGGGGGGGCAGGGCACATTGAATTATGGGTGTGGGCATGCGTGTGCGCGACCCCCTCACGCTCCCCCTGCTTTTGGCACGCGACGACAAAAAGATTAGCCATCACTAGTATAGGGTCTCCTGCTTGACTAGGGGGTTGGACTAGGAGACCTCCAAGGTCCCTTCCAGCCCTGTGATTCTGTGGATCTAGAATGGCCATTCATTCCTTGGGTGTCCTCCCTCTGCCCTTATCTGGTCAGAGAGACTGTAGGACCACCATATCTGAGCTGCAATACCTGTAAAACCACTAGATGGTAGGAGAGAGCTGGATTTTTCTGTTAACCTTTGATGCCATCTAATGGGCATGGATATTTCTACAACTCAAGTGTGAGAACTTTATGGAAAGTTAACATTAAGCTTTGATTACTGAAGACATTCTGTGGGTGAATGTGCAGCATTCAAAGTCACAAGGTATTAATGTGTCCTAAAATGAAAGCAAGGTGGAAAGTATCTCCAAAATTGATTGAAGGGACCACGGAGACCTTACTTACTTACTTACTTACTTACTTACTTACTTATTTATTTATTTATTTGTCACATTTCTATGCCGCCCAACTCCTTAGGGACTCTGGGCGGCTTACAGCAAAAAAACAATGCGAACAATATCCCGTAAATTTTTTTAAAAAGAACATTAAAAACCCATACACTCTATTCCATGGCCGGGTCTCGCAAGATCGCCGTAGCGAGATCAAGGGCCCCAGGCCTGCCGGAAAAGCCAGGTCTTCACCATGTTGTGTATATGTTCTTGCAGGTTTCCGTCGCTGCTCTGCTGGGTGCTTTTTCCCCTCACTGTCCAATATAAATGGATCAAGAGAAGCAGAAAACGTTGCCCCAAAATGAAAAGATCTCATTGGCATTTAATGCAGGGCCAGGAAAAAGCTAGGAACACAGAATGCCCAATAATCCAATTTAAAAGAATGAATTAAAACTGCTTGGTTTTAGTCTCATTAATCTCATTGTCTCAATGAGGCCATTTATTTTTACAGTTTTTTTTTTTTACAATTATACAATTGATTTTCTTAGATCGCTTGAAGAGTTTAAAAATACCAAGATGAAAAAACAAGGTTCCCCTTTCTCCAAACATGCAAATCTTTCTTTGCATATTTTTCTGTGGATGGTGGGGACCTGATCTTTCCCTGCCTGGCCCCCCTAATTGGACCATGGCTAGGAATCATGGATCTTGGAGTACCACTCAAGCAGCTGGACTCTTGTTTACATCACCTGTAAACAAATGAAAGGTACAGGGAATGTAGTATTTAAAATAGATTTTTTTAAAAAGTATTATGAAGGAGACAAGAAATCGATGCTAACTGAGCCTGCAGGAGAATGATCACTGTTGCTGGTCAGCCTTGGGCAATAGAGAGAAACACTTCAGGGTGTTGTTAGAACCTAGCGATAGGTTCAATAATAATGTTTGTTTGTTTTGTTTTATGTTTTATTAAATTTGTATACCGCCCTACTCCCGAAGGACTCAGGGCGGTGAACAGGCACAGAATAAAATACAGAAGTACAAAAGTTAGAAACAATTTAAAATCAAATTAAATAATTTAGCCCAAGACAATTAAAAATCCCAATAATTTAAAACAAATTAAAATTTCAGTTTAAAAATTTAAAAGAAAGGGGAGAAAATTAGGCCAGGCCGGCTTGCTGGAATAGGAGGGTCTTAAGAGCATGGCGGAAAGTGCGCAGATCCGGGATCCTCCGGATCTCCGGGGGGAGCTCATTCCAGATAGTGGGTGCCCCCACAGAGAAGGCCCTTCCCCTGGGGGCCGCCAGTCGACACTGCTTGGCTGACGGCACCCGGAGGAGCCCCTCTCTATGAGAGCGTATCGGCCGGTGGGAGGCTGTTTGTGGTAGTAGGCGGTCCCGTAAATAATAATAATATTAATAATAATAATAATACGTGGCTTATGACTGAGCATATTCTGTGAATCATGATTAAGCAATGTCTTAATAGGTTGTGAAGATCAAAGCTAACTCCTCCATCGTTGTGGATCACCAGAGCATTTTGTGCTGGACTGGACAAAAGAAGGTTATATGGCTGGATTTCGAGGGTTTGATGAAATTGAAGAGCCTACCTTTGTGATTTCCCTCCCTCCCTCCCTCCCACATTTATTTATTTATCCTTCCTTCTTTCCTTCCTTCCTTTCTTTCTCCCTCCCTCCTCCTCCTCCCCTTTCTTTCCTTCCTTTCTTCCTTCCTTCCTTCCTTCCTTCCTTCCTTCCTTCCTTCCTTCCTTCCTTCCTTCCTTCCCTCCCTTCCTCCTTTCCTGAATAGCAAGGTTGGAAGGGACCTTGGAAGTCTCCTAGTCCAACCCTCTGACCCTGTACCATTTCAGA